AAAAAAAGAAAATCTGGGCTCCGAGGCTTCGTAGGTAAAATGCACTTGCTGTTAGGCCTGATGACTTGAGTTTCACCCCTGGACTTACGTGGTGGAAGGAGAGAACCAACTCCCAGAAGTTGTCTTCTGACCATTGTATCTGCACAATGGCATGTGCTTCCTCCCAAAATAAATAAATGTAATAAAAAAACAAAGATATGGTCGTGCATGCTTGTAATCCCAAATTCCGCTAGATGGGTTCAGGAGGGATGGCTTCCTGGCCAGCCAACGTAACCTACTTGGTGAGCTCCAGCATAGTGATAGACTGTGTCTCAAAACAGCAAGGTGAAGCTGAACATGGTGTATTACATCTTCAATCCCAACACTTGGGAGGCAGAGACAGGCAGATCTCTATGACTTCAAAGCTAGACTGATCTGAATATTGAATTCTAGGCCATTCAGGGCTATGTAGTGAGACCCTGTCTCAAAGAAAAACAAAAAACAAAAAACCCAAACCAACCAACCAAACAATGTGGACAGTGCTTGAGAACTGACACCCAGGGTTGACTTCACAAGACAACAGTACAGCACACACAAGAACACACAGATAAATAAGTAGAACTGGTGAGATGGCTTAGAGGTAAAGGTGCTTGCTGCCAAGACTGATAATCTCAGTTCAATCCCTGTGTCCCACATGGTAGAAGGAAAGAACAGACTTCCACAAGTGTCCTCTGACCTCCACACTCTCACCACGACATGCTCATAGACACACACAGACACACACACACAGACACCAACATAGACACATACAGACACCAACATAGACACACACACAGACACCAACATAGACACACACACACACAATGAATACATGCAAAGAATGTCTTAAAATAAAACACAGTGTGAGCTTATATCTAGATTCCTACCTCGCAACCCCTTTCTCATTTACTTCACACTGATTCCTTGGTAACCTGCTGGGCCAGGCTTACTGAGCACTTTGCCTAGGGCACCCTGGTGGCATATAGAAAGCAGATCTTTTTCTTTATCCCTGTGCCACCTGTTTGGAGGAGGAGGAGCCATTGGGGCACAGTTTGGGGCATCTTTTTCCCAGGTACCTTCAGTATTACCCCAGCTTCCGATTTTTGGTGTGCGTGTGTGTGTGTGTGCGCGCATGTGTGTTTTAAAATTTATGCTAATTTTTTTCTTGGTCTTTTTGAGACAGGGTCTCCCTGTAGCCCCAGTTGTCCTGGAACTCACTGTGTAGACCAGGCTGGCCTTGAACTCACAGAGATCTGCCTGCCTCTGCCTCCTGAGTGCTGGGATTAAAGCAGTGTGCTACCACACCCAGCCTATTTTAATCTTTTAATTAAAAAAAATTTTTGTTATTGCCTGCACGCTGTGTCAGCCAGAAGAGGGCATCTGATCCCCCGGAACTGGAGTTACAGATGGTTGTTAGCTGCCATGTGGGTGTTGGAAACCAAACTCCAGTCCTCTGCAAAAACAGCCAGTGTTTAGCCATTTTTGAGCCATTTCTCCAGCCCCTATTTTTATTTTTATTTCTGTATACTTGTGTTTCTGTGTCTGCCACATGCATGCAGGTGCCCAAGGAGACCAGAAGAGGATATTGGAGCCCGTGGACCTAGGACAACAGGTGGTTGTGAGTCACTCAATATGTGTCCTGGAATCTTTGGAAGAGCAGCAAATGCTCTTAACCACTGAGCCATCTCTCCAGCCTTTCTTTTGTTTTATATTTTGTTATGTTTTGTTTGTTGGTTTGATTTTTTTCTTTTTTTTGGTCTTTTTGAGACAGGGTCTCCCTGTAGTCCCATCGGGCCTGGAACTCGCTATGTAGACCAGGCTAGACTCAGAGATTGAGTCGCTTGAACTCACAGAGATCCACCTGCCTCTGCCTCCCAAGTGCTGAGATTAAAGGTGTGTGCCACCACGCCCACCTTAAGGCAGGATGGCCTGGCTGCCCTGGATCTTGCTATGTAGACCAGGCTAGACTCAGAGATTTCATATATATCCCATAGTCTCTGCTGTCAGGTTTAAAGGCCTGCACCTTCAAGCACAGGCTCAACTCACCATTGTGATGTGATAATTGCTTAGGGCTGAGCTTAGCAGGCTACGGAGGCAACCAGTCAGTCAGGAAGCGGAGGAGAAGAGCAAGTCCCCTTGAGTGTCCCTGGCCAAGACCTCTGATAGGGTGGGAGCCAGCAGCTTGAGGTTTAGGGAAGATGCTGACTTAAATATTCAGAGCACCCCCAGTCGGGCTGTTATGGCTGAAACACACACACCGTATTCTTTCCTGAAGAAACTGTTATCATTCTTCAATGGCTTTGTGGCTGTAAGTATGTCACAACCCGGGCCCTGGGGATTTGGCAGACTTTCCTTCACAACAAGCTCCCTAAAAGACAGAAATAAGCTGATCTAAATTGCCTTCCAGATCTGTGGTCCCTGGAGGGGATGGGGCAGGAGAAATGTAGGATAGGTTGCTGAGGAGCAGGACATGTTGGGAGCAGGTATATTATCCCAGGGGTTGAGGATATCAGCACAGATATATAAAGATTTGGGGACCCTGGGTCAAGGATGGAAAAGCTTTGTTTTAACATTGAATCCTGAAGAAAATTGAGTTTGGGAGACTGGGGCTCATGCTCACTGGATAGAGCCCTTGATTAGCATGTAATAAGACCTGGGTTCTATTCCTAGCACCATAGAAACCAGGTATGATGGTGAACATATATGATCTAAGCATTCAGGAGGTGTAGGGAGGAGGCTTAGGAGTTCAAGGCTATCCTGGGCTACATGTTGAGTTTGAGTCCAGCATGAGCTGCGTAAGATACAAAAGCTTCTTTTAGAGAAGCAAAAACAACAACAAAAAAACCTTACACACAGATTATTGAATTTGAAAAGTCAAGAGAGAATGTTTATTTTCGTTTCTCTCCCTCATCTATATGATTTATTTCTATTTTTATTATGTGTATATGTGTGGGTATGTGAACATGAGTGAATGCCTGTTAGAGGTCATAAGAGGGCATTGGATCCCCTGGAGTTAAGGATGGTTGTTAGCCACCATGTGGGTGCAGTGAGCCAAACCTGAGTTCTTTGCAAGAGCAGCTAGTGCTCTTAACCGCTGAGCCAGCTCTCCAGAACCTGATGTCCTCTTCTTATCAATACACTCTAACAAAGCCAGCTTGGGATCCCAGAACTCAGGAGGTAGCGTCAGGAGGATCAGAAGTTCAAGGCCAGCCTCGATTATATAGTGAACCAGCCTGGGCTACATGAGACCCTTTCTCAACAGGACAAAACAAAACAAATAAACTTCTCTGTAACAAATATTTCTGTTGTCTCCTGAAGCATGTCTGACTTTTTTCTTAATCTGAAAGTATAGAAATGGAAATTCTGAGCTGGGCCTGGTGACGCATGCCTGTAGTCCTAGCACTTGGGAGGCAGAGGCAGGCATATCTCTGTGAATTCAAGATAGCCTGGTCTACATAGTGAGGTCTAGGACAGCTAGGGCTACAGGGAGACCCTGCTTCAAAAAGACAACAACAACAACAAAAAAAAAGAGAAATGGAAATTCTGAATAGAACTTTATGTTGAAATGTAAAATTTTCAGGTTGAATTGCAGTCCTTCCTACCTTCTTTCCTTTTTTTTAATTTTTTTTTTTTTTTTGAGACAGGGTCTGCCTATAGTAGTCACTGCTGACCTGGAACTCACTTTGTAAAACAGACTAGGCTTGATTCCACAGAGGTCTGACTGCCTCTGTCTCCTTAGTGCTGGGATTAAAGATATATACCCCCATGCCTGGTTCTTTCTTTCTTAGACAGCACCTTATGTAGCCCAGGCTAGACTCCAGCTCACTGTAGGATGGCCTTAAACTCTTTTTAAAAATATTTTATTAATTCTATTTTCTGTGTATGGGTGTATTGCCTGCATGTGTGCAAGTGCACCCTTGTCATGCAATGCCCTTGGAAGTCAGAAGAGGGTTCAGATTCCCTGGAACTGGAGTTACAGATGGCTGTTAGCTGCTAGGTTGGTGCTGCGAATTCAACCCAGGTCCTCTGCAAGAGCAGTCAGGGCTCTTAATCACTGGAGCCATCTCTCCAGCCCCCTTGAATTCTTTTAAAAATATTTTATTGCCAGGCATGGTGGCACAAGCCTTTAATCCCAGCACTTGGGTGGCAGAGGCAGGCGGATCTTTGTGAGTTCAAGGCCAGCCTGGTCTACATAGTGAGTTCCAGGACAGCTGGGGCTACAAGGAGACCCTGTCTCAAAAAGACAAAAAAAATTTTTATTATTTTAAAATTTTATGTGTCTGAGTATATTTGCCTGCGCGTATGTAAGCACATCTGTGTCATGCAATTCCCAAGGAGGTCAGAAGAGGGCATCAGTTTCCCCTAGAAGTGGAGTTAAGGACAGTTGTTAGCGTTCATGTGGGTGCTGGGAATTAAACCCAGTTCCTTTGCAAGAACAGCCAGTGCTCTTAGCCACTGAGCCATTTTCCCAGTCCCATAATCTTGAACTGTTGATCTTCCTGCCTCCACCTCTCCAGTTCTGGGATTATAAGCCTGTGCCACTATCTCTAGTTTATGTAGAGCTGGAGATGAACCCAGGGCTTCATACACGCTAGCGGAGCACTCTACCAACTGAGCCACACCACAGCCCCAATCTCTACTGTTTTGTTTTTTTCTATAACCATGATTCCGTGTCACTGCAAATTCTTGGTATAATTTTTTAACAATTTTTCTGATTTTATTGGCCTGTACTTCCCTCTCCCCTGCCCTCTCCCCTGCCACCTGGATATATTACATATACCTACCTAATCCTCTTCCTCTCTGATTTCTGTTCTAAAGGTATCTGGTATGGTCCTCATTGGCCTGGGCCTCTGGGTCAAGTACGGAGAGGCCACACTAACAAGGGTCCTTGGGGTGTCTGTCCTCTGCCCATTTCCTTCACTTTGGTTACGTGAGCCTAGGAATGGGTGGCCTCACCATAGTGCTCAGCCTTGCCGGGTGGTATGGAGCGACTAAGGAAAACAGGCACACTCGTGGCTGTAAGTAGGATCTGCACACGCCCATAACAGCCTTGTGAGAGTTGGTTTTCACCTCCATCGCGTGGGTTCTGGGGATCAAATTCAGGTCCTCAGGTTTGGTGGCAAGCACCTTTACCCTGTGGAGCTGTGGAGTAACTGAAGTTAAGGGTAGGTGTTAGTTGCTATGTGGGTGCTGGGAGCTGAACCTGGGGAAGAGCAGCCGGTGCTTTAAACTGCTGAGCCAGCTCTCCAGCCCCATTTGTCTTGCTTTTGATACCAGTTCTTGCTATGTAACTCAAGCTGGCCCCCAACTTCGGATTCTCTGGCTCAGTCTAAAGGTGCAAGTGTGCCCCATTCCCTGCACTGTCCCTGTTCTTTCTCACATCCTTTTTCTCCTTCCTCTCCACATGCACCTCTTTCGAGATGACCCCCTTATGCCTCCCAAGATGGGGCTCCCAGCCAGTTGCTCCCTCAAGAACCCCGGTACTGGCATCCTTCATCTTCCAACAGGTCTATTTCCTAGTAGACCTAGGAGAAATCAAACCCAGAGGCCTCCCATGCTTACGGCAAACTGGAGTGTGCTTACTGCAAACTGGAGGAGGGTGGAATGAGGGGTGGGGTGGAAGACCAGGCCTCCTCCCTCCCCAGCATGGCCTGCAGGGTCCTTCCCTTTCTCCCTCCCCAGCATGGCCTGCAGGGTCCTTCCCTCCCTCCCTCCCCAGCACGGCCTGCAGGGTCCCTGCCTGCAGACATTAGCCAGCTCTAGCCTCTCTGTGTCTTCCAGTGTTTCTTGTTCCTGGTCCTCATCCTGATCGCGGAAGTCACGGCAGCCTCCGTGGTCCTTGCCTTCTTCTCAATAGTAAGTATGGAACAGCTGGCAAAGTGATAAAAAGAGATAGACTTCACCAGAAGCCCTGCCCTCGAAGGCACCCTTCTACTCCACCCCACCCTCGAATACAGGAGACTTGGAGATGAAGGAATCCATACATCCCTTGGGTCCCCCAGAGAGACTTAAACGCTGAAAAGCTCAGTCTTCACCAACAAAGGACACACAAGCTTGCCATTCATCTCTTCTGCAGGGAGACCAGAAGGTGATGGGGAGGGCAGGCACATGCCTGAGTGTGCTCTGTGGTAGAGCCACTGCTCAAAATCCCTCAGTGAGGTGCTGCGGGTCTGGAGGTGTGGCTCAGAGGTAGAGTGCCTGCTTAACATGAGAGGCCTTTGGTACCATCCCCAGTACTGCAAATAAAAAAATTAATTAATTAATTAATTAAAAAAAATAAATAATAAATAGTGTTGAAAATGGGCTATCTAACAAAACCTATCAAAGTGACAAAAGCTGAGCATTGACCCCACAATCTAATCTCTTGGAAAAGCTGAAAGGTTTACTTGCTCCAGACAGTGTGACATAGCTTATACTAGAATGTGCAAACCACTGATAACAGTCTAAGATTTAAGTCACAAGAAACCCATGAAGTGGAATCCTATACACCTGGAAACAAGGAAGCAGACAGCTAACTGGCTGTGCTGGAGCTGGAACATTCTCTAGGACTGAGCAGTGCCCTGTCACTATTTCAACAGGGACTTTAAATTTATGTGGTTTATTTTGGAGGTGATGGTGTGTGCACCCTGGGCCCACTCTGGCCAGGGGTGTTCAAAACAGAATAGAGCAGCAATCTAGAGGTCTGCAGAGAGGCTGGGACTGAGTAGGTAGAGTGCTTGCCCAGCATGCCAAGCACCACATAAACCAGGTGTATGCCTGTCATCCCAGTACTGGGGAGTTGGAGGCAGGCAGATCACTGGGGATGTATGGGCCTAGTCTAGTCCATCAGCAAGTGTCAAGCCTTCTGGAGACTGTGTCTCAAAAAACAAGGTAGATGGGCTGGTGAGATGGCTCAGGTGGTAAAGGAACTTGCCGTCAAGGCTGATGACCTGAGTTCTATCCAGGATCCACATGGTGGAAGGAGAGAACCAACTGCCAAAAGTTGTCTTGTGACCTCCACACACATGCAGTGGCGTGTGCATGTGTGCAAATTCACACTCACACATAGCCACACATACAAGTACATACAACATAGATAAAAGGTAATAATAATAATAATAAATAATAATAAAATAAAGCCAGGCGTGGTGATGCATGCCTTTAATCCCAGCACTCAGGAGGCAGAGGCAAGGGGATCTCTGTGAGTTCAAGGCCAGCCTGGTCTACATAGTGAGTTCCAGGACAGCTGGGGCTACAGGGAGACCCTGTCTCAAAAAGACCAAAAACAATAATAAGAAGAAGAAGAAGAAGAAAATAAGGCAAAAACCATAAAGTGGAGGAACCTGATACCTCCACATGTGCACACACATGAACAGGTACTTACAGGCACACACAGGCATAAACATGCAACCCTGGCTTAGGCATGGTGACAGCATGAGGAAGCTGAGGTCTGAGGATCATGAGTTTAAGTCCAGCCTGGGCTATTTAACCAGACCCTGTCTCAGACCAAAACATGAATCTAAGCTATCGCGTTCAGGGGCTGGAGAGCTGGCTCATCAGTTAACAGCACTGGCTGCTCTTACAGAGGACTTAGGTTCAGTTCCCAGCACCTACATGGTGGCTAACAACCATCTGTAACTCCAGTTCCAGGGGATTCAACACCCTCTTCTGGCTTCTGGAGGCATTACATGCATGTGGTGCATTTGCATAGATGCAGGCAAAACAGTCATACACATAAAATAAAAATAGAAAATAAAATATCTTTTAAGCTGTTGTACTCAAGGGTGAGGGAGCTGGGTCTTCATCCACCAAATCCCACCTGATTAATCCCATGAGGGTTGCATGTAGGGGCACCAGGACGGAAAGATCACCCTGGGTGTCAGTTGTCAGCCAGGCCACTGTGCACAGAATTGAGGGGCACCACTAACACCTGCTCCTCTTACCAGGAACAGCCAGATTCAGATCAATTAGCTGTAAGCTAATTGTAATCCAAGCAAGACACAGAATGAAAATAGACTTTGCTTTGGCACATGCCCAGTTTCTCTTTGGGGACGTAGGAAACAGGAATAGTCACCCCATGAGATGGGGCTGAGGGAAAGAAGTGGGAGGGAGAGACTTTTCATGTTTCTACCCTTCTGGGCTTGTTAGTTTTGAAGATGAGGCTAGATTACTGCTTGTAGGGACTGTGAAGTAATGTTCATATGGCTTTAAAATGTGCTTGGTGAAATAAGCTGAACTTTGAGCCTGTATGTCTGGAGAGTCTTGTGTCTCATGAGAAAGTGTATGCAAGAATGCTTGCTGGGGAGATATCTCTGGAATGCCAGTCCCCCCTCTTGTTTCTCATGGAACGCACTGACCTCCTAAGCAGACATAGCATGGAGATTGTGTGGCCATGCTTGTCTTATTCTGCTGAATTGTTATGTTATATTCTAGCCATATTATTACTATTCAGTGTTCTGTAGACATTTGACTGTGGCACTCATGAGTATGAGAAGCCATTTTATTGTTCAGGTCTGTAGATGTGACTGTGATTCTCACGAGTATGGGAACAGAAGCAGAGCTGCTGGGACTACTGGCACTCAGGAGCATGGACACAGCAAGCCCTCTGGTAGTCCACTCAGGTTCTGCCCCATCCCCACCCTCCGTGGCCACAACTGCTGTGAGGGGCAAAACAACCTTTTTTTTTTTTTTTTTTTTTTTTTGAGACAGGATCTCCCTATAGTTGTGCCAGGGCCAGAATTCTCTATGTAGACCTGGCTGGCTTTGATCTCACAGAGGCCCACCAGCCTCTGCCTCTGGAGTGCTGGGATTAAAGGCGCGTGCCACCAAAAAAACTTTTTTTTGGTCTTTTTGAGACAGGGTCTCCCTGTAACACCAGCTGTCCTGGAACACTATGTAGACCAGGCTGGGCTTGAACTCACAGAGATTTGCCTGCCTCTGCCTCCCAAGTGCTGGGATTAAAGGCATGCACCACCACACCTGGCAAAATTTTTTTTTAATGTATATGAATGTGCATTGCCTCCATGTGTATAAGTACACCCGTGTCGTGCAATGCCCATGGAGGTCAGAGGAGGGTGTCAGATCCCCTGGAACTGGAGTTGGCTGTCCTGTGGGTACTGGGAATCGAACCCAGAGCCTCTGCAAGGGCAGTACTCTACCACTGAGCCATCTCTCCAGCCGCGCCCCCCCCCCCCAGTTTTTTGAGACAGAGTCTCAGGTAACCCAGTCTGGCCCTGAACTTTCTATGTAGCCAAGGATAACCTTGAACAGCTGATCCTCCTGCTTCTGCCTCCCAAGGGTTGGGATGACAGGTCCGTGAGACCAAATCTGGTTTATGTGGTGCTGGGGATGGAATCCAGGACTTTGTACATGCCAGGCAAGCACTCTACCAACTGAGCCACATCCCCAGCATCCTGTCCCTGACACAATTCTTTTTAATCTTTATTTAAAGAAAAAAAATTGGTGCAACCTTTAATCCTAGTACTCAGAAAGCAGAGACAGGTATCTCTGAGTTGGAGGCTGGCCTGGTCTACACAGTGAGTTCCAGCTCAGCTGGGGCTACATAGTGAGACCCTGTCTCTCACACCCAAAAATCAGGGCTAGAGAGATGGCTCAGCAGTTAAGACCACTGGTTGTTCTCACAAAGGATCTGAATTTGGTTCCCAGCACCCACATGACAGCTAGCAACTGTCTGTAACTCCAGTTCTAGAAGATCCAACTCCTTCTTCTGGCCTCCATAAGCATTGCACACACACGGAGCACCTATATACATGCAAGCAAAATATTCATACACATAAAAATGTGTTGTTTTTTAATCGAAATTTGAGTTAGGCAGTAGTGGCCCATGCCTGGAATCCTAGAACTTGGGAGGTAGAGGCAGGAGGGTCAAGAGTTCACTATCAATACTGAGTACAAAATGAGTGTGAGGCCAGCCTGGGCTTCATGAGATCCTGTCTCAACAAAAATAAAGAGAGGCCAGGTGTGGTGGCACATTCCTTTAATCCCAGCACTTGGAGGCAGAGGCAGGTGGATCTCTGGTGAGACAAAGGCCAGCCTGGTCTACATGGTGAGTTCCAGGCCAGCTGAGGCTATAGGAAGACTGTCTAAAAGAAATGAGGAGAGGGAGAGGGAGAGGGGGAGAGAGAGAGAGAGAGAGAGAGAGAGAGAAAAGGGGGAAGGAAGGGAGAAGGACAGGCAGGATGGATGGAAGGAGGGAGAGAGGAAGGGAAGGGAGAGACAAAAGGAGGGATGGAGAGGAGGAAGGACGGCAGGGAAACAGCTTCCCCTCCTCAGTGACTTGGTTGTCCCCTTTGACTTCTGGTCTTATCTGGAAGGTTCAAGACGTGGCCCTGGAGCACACTCTTCTCATCTTGAGGAGGGATTACAGAGGCTACAAAGAGCCAGACGACTTCTCTGCGCAATGGAATGAAATCATGGAGAAGGTGATGCCTGCTTTTCATGCAATATTGGTAAAACAGACATGATGTGAAATTCACCACTTAACCTTAAATTTTATTTCTTTTGGGTGGTGCTGGGTATGGTGCCTAGGGCCTCTCACGTGTGTCAGGCAAGCACTCTGCCACTGAACCACCCTCACAGCCACATTCTAACCTTTTTTTTTTGGTCTTTTTGAGACAAGATCTCCCTGTAGCCACAGCTGTCCTGGATTCACTAATGAAGACCAGGCTGGCCTCGAACCCTCAGAGATCTGCTTGCCTCTGCCTCCCGAGTGCTGGGATTAAAGGCATGGGCCACCACGCCTGGTTTAACCTTTTTTTTTTTTTTTGAGAGTCTCATGTAGCCCAGGCTAGCCCAGAACTCAGCAGGCGAGGATGATGACCTTAAACTCTTGATCCTCTTAACTCCACTTTCGGAGTGTTGGATTCTGGATGTGAAGAAATTATGTCCAGTCTTCTGAGCATTTGGGTAATCTCAGTTCCCCTGCCAAGTTTTTTGGCACATTACCATGAGGAAGAAAAATGAACTCCAGTTAGTCCAGATTTAACTAAATATGGACTGAAAAACATCTGAAAAGGGCTGGTGAGAAGGATCAGCAGGTAAAGGCCCTTGCAGCCAAGCCTGACCACCTGAGTTTAAGTCCTAGAACCCACAGTGGAAGAAGAGAACTGACTGGATTTTGTGGGGAGGGGGTGATGTGCTGTGGCATATACGAACCTCCCAACACCTCTCTATAATAATAATAATAATAAATTTAAAAAAGAAGTTATTAGCTGGGCATGGTGACATATACCTTCAATTCCAGTACTTAGGAGGCAGAGGCAGGTAAATCTTTGTGAGTTTGAGGCCAGCTTGGACTATATAGCCAGTTCCAGGCCAGCTATGCCTGGTGACTCAGCCTGCAATCTCAGCACTCTGGAAGCTGAGACTGGAGAATAGCCATGACTTTGACACAAGCTTCAGGCTAGAGGAGACAGAGGGACATTGGCAGGTCCTTATGGTCACAACAAACAGTCCAGTTCTGACTCCGTGAAATGGAGACATTTAAAAAAAATCCATTTTATTTTGTGTTTGAGTGTTTTGCCTGCATATATGTAAGTACACCCATGTGTGCAATGCCCACAGAGGTCAGAAGAGGACGTTGGATCCCCTGGAACTGGAGTTATAGACAGTTATTAGCTGCCATATGGATGCTGGGAACTAAACCTGGGTCCTCTGCAAGAGCAGCCAATGCCAGCTCTCCAGCCCCTCAGGGGACATTTAGCAGGGATTCTGAAAGGAATATACAGTCAGTTGCCATGGTGACTGATTTGTACTGTGCTGTTTTGTTATTTAAAATACATTATTTGCTGGGCGTGGTGGCGCACGCCTTTAATCCCAGCACTCGGGAGGCAGAGGCAGGCGGGTCTCTGTGAGTTCAAGGCCAGCCTGGTCTACATAGTGAGTTCCAGGACAGCTGGAGCTACAGGGAGACCCTGTCTCAAAAAAGACAAAAAAAAGAAAGAAGAAAAGAGGAACAAAAGGAAAGGTTTAAGTCACTGTTACAGAGGGTTCAGTCCATGGTTGGCCCTGTAGCAAGGTAGAGCACCGAAGTGGGAGCCCATGGAAGCTGACTTATGGCTAAGGATGAAAGAGAGGAAGACTAGAGGAATTGTCCCACAATTCCCTTTGAGGACACCCCACTCACCAGTGACCCAAACTCTTCCACTCATCCCTATTTCACTTTAAGAACAAATGTAGTCTTAAAAAGACAACCAAACCAAAACAACAAAAAGAACAAAAAACCCAAATTGTATTATGTCTGTGTGTGCATTGGGGGTGTGCTTGCTGGGGGGTGTGCTTGCTGGGGGATGTGCTTGCTGGGGGGTGTGCTTGCAGGCATGGAAGCATAGAGTGCAACCTCAAGCATCATTCCCTGGGAACACTGTCTATGTTTTTTTTTTTTTTTTTTTTTT